ATGGTCAATGGTCGCTACCCCGCACTGTAGTGGAATTGTATGCGATTTGGCACCCGCTTGAGTTGATTCAAGAGGATCTCTCACAGTGGTTACTGCTATCCGTGACAGGTTCTCTCCGTCGACCCTCTCGTCTCTTTTTGGAGTGATCCACGTGCTGAAGCGTCTCAACGAGACGGTACTTGTAGCGGACATGTCTGAAGGGTAACGAAAAGGCGGACGAGGCGGTTAGGCTGGGACGTCCCAACTTTCGGCTTCTGACGCTAAAAATTCAATAAAAAACATGATTAAAAGAAAGCAGCAGCGTTGGTGGGCCAGGTCGAAAGAGAAACATTCACGTATCAAGAGCAGTGTCGATAGGTGTCCCTTGAAGTAACTGACTCGTAGAAGAATGGTGATCTTTACCCGACTAAAAATAGTCCATGCGAGGTTGACACACGGTCATTTATCTTCTTACACTGATAGATAAAAAAATTCATCACAAGTAGCTCGCATAGTACAAACACACCTTTAACACCATAACAGTAGGGTTTTAGCCTGGCCATCCCGTTCTCCAGACTTGAACCCCCTGAAAATTTATGGAATACCTCAAAAGACGAATAAGTGCACGTCCATCACTTCCTGATACACTCCGCGATCTTGAAAGGACTCTTCGTGAAGAATGTCCTAACCTCCAGCAAAGAGACATTTCCAGACTGTAGAAAGCCTGCCGAGACGTCTTCAAATGTAATTAAAGCAAGCGGAGGAAAAACGCGATATTGAAATTTTAATTAAAAATCTAATTAAAACAAATTTTATCTGTCCGTCTTTTTTTATTTATTTAGATTTATTCATTTTTCATTATCCTTAGCAATTTACATTTTTTTTTACATTTTTAGACTGACTCAATTATTAAACGTTAAAAAACTTTGATTAATGTATAAAAATATATACAAATCAAGTTATGTTTCAAGTGGGTGGAATTTTTTGTCTGTCAGTGTATTTTAAACGGCACTTGAAAGAGTACCCAATTGGTCGCTTTCACCCACTTTTATAAATTCAAAGATTATATAATTAAGGTATAATAAAATAAACTGCAAATGGCAATGATTATCAAACATCTTTGACCCCCCCCCCAAAAAAAAAAAAGAATTCGCGATAAGTATAGCTAGTTGGATGGCTTTTATTTATAAATTTGCTTTTGCGCTTTGAAGCAGAAATTAGACAATTTGAAAGTCATTAATTTAGATTAACTGTGCAAGTTAAGCTCACCTCCTTCCGCATAACAACATACTTTATAAGTAATAACTCTCTGAAGTTTGTTTTTGGGATTTACTCACATGGGGGGACTACGGACATGTGATCACCGATTTTAATGAAACTTTCGTGGTGTTGGGTCGAAAGATATTAAACACGTGTCCGAGCGTTCTCGCCAATGGCTCTAAATGTCAAGGTTGTTATATATCAATCGATTTGTTTTTTACCTAGAATAAGAAAATAAAATGAAGGATCAATGGGAAAAAAGTTACCAAAACCAAGTAACCTGTAACTTTTAACTAGAAAAATATTTTGGGGAAAACAATTTGGATTCGTTTCAACATCCTTTGAAGCACTTAAATATGAATTTATGTAGGAAATAAAAAATATACATTTTTGGTTGAGCCGTGGTCAACTTTATTTGCCGATGTCTGGTGTTCCAGAAAAAATTTCGTAACTCCTCAACATGGTATAGGTGAAGCATGCACTCATATTTATGCGAAATCTTCAAAAATATTTACCCACTCTTCCATGGCCACTAAAAGGGGGTTGTTATGTTTCATTTCCACAGACATACTTGACTCTAAATCGGAGGAAAACTTTTTGATTTGTGGTCCGTTAGATTAACTCTTCCACGCTTTATCTTATTTCTACTTATTGTGGTTGTCCGCCATCAATTCCACCTTTGGGTGTAGTGGTGTAGGTTACTTGAATTTCAGGTTCCAAGTCTTTAGCTGCTATATCTGCCATTTCATTAAGTAATATTCCTTTTTTCCATTTATATCATTGACCTGCCCGATTCCATCCAGTCCTGTAACTATCACCTACATGCCGATGACTCCCAAATTTACATATCCTTCCACCCTTCCAATCTTCACTCGGCCATTCTCAAGATCCAAAAAGACCTAAACTCCATCAACGAATGGGCACATTAAAATTCCCTAGTCCTCAATCCGTCCAAATCCACCGCCATAATTATCGGATCCAGGCAACTCCGCAATTTCCTCCCCAGCATCACACCTCTCATGCTAAATAGCCATCCCATCCCCTTCTGCTCTTCGGTTAAAAACCTGGGAGTAGTCTTTGACCAAAACCTTTCCTGGCATTTTCACATTTCCCAAATTTCCCGTCATTGCATTGCCTCCCTCACCCCGTTTCGTCGATCCTGGCTCTCTTACCTTTCTCCACTCGCAAACTCCTTGTATCTTCCCTTATAACTTCCCTTCTTCGATTATAGCTGTGTGGCAACGGTGGTCTCTCGGAGGGGGGAACGCGCGATTGAAGCGTATTATGAATTGTTGCGTAAGATTTGTGTACGGCACCCCTCGGGGATCCCGGGTGTCGGGGTTGTATTCCCAACTTTCCTGGCTATTCCCCTCCTTCAGTGCACAGTATTTCCTAGGTTGCTTTCTTTTCCAGTCCATCCACACTCGTCGTCCTCCCATTCCCATCCCCAATCGACCGTATCCTTCCGCAACATACAGCCCATACCTTCGAAAGATCCTTACTGATCCGAGCCCCTAAATTCTGGAACTCTCTTCCCTTTTCTATTCGTCACGCTGCCTCCTTTTCCTCCTTTAAATCCCACATGTATAATCACCTCCTCTCCCTCCAAGCAGAGACCTCACGTTAATATTTGTTATTTTTGTTTAATATTCTTGTAATTTTCTCTTCTGGCCAGCCTTACTGGTATATATTGTGCCAAGATTTATATCTTTTTTTTTTACTTTTAATTTCATAGAAGGAACTTCCTTTATTTATTTCATGTAAATTATTCTTAGGGGACATCAGTCCCAGAATAAAGTTATTTTTCTTCTTCCTCAAGTAATATTCCACAGTGAGCTTTTACTTTTCCTAATTGTACTTTCAACCCATGTTCTCTTATTTTCAATACGTATTCTCTAATTTTCGAAACTGTTCTATTTTCAACATTCCAATTTTTTATTTTGTTTATTTTTATTTTGTCAGACCTCGCTGTACGTCTTTATCTTCAGCCACTTAATTTTGTAGTTTTTGCTCCTGTATACATTGTAATTGTAACATTGCCAGCAGTTGTTAATAGTTTTCATCCACATCCTCCTGATGCACTTGTATGAAAAGGAAGAAAAGCGCGGGTGTGAGACCCCCGGGGACGGCGCCGAACTGGCCGCCCATCGACTTGTCTCATATATCCGAATATTCATTCAGCAATTTATTTATTTTTAGCGTGTTGGTCTAGTGGGTTGTTTATTTATTTAGGTGCGCGGGTTTTTCCAGTAATTTGTACAATATTTATTTATGCTTGGGGTGTTTGTGGTAGTTTAGTAGTATATGTGTGTATGTGTGTAAAATGTAGGTGTACGTACAAGTAAAAATTTATTTCTTAAATTATTTACAAATGAAATTGTAGAAACTTTTAATTCTCTACATTTCAAGAAAAAATCGTTTCAGTTAGTAAAATTGCACCAGAGTTCATTTATGCAGTTGTTTTTCCTATGATGCGTCGAAAAACGCACCATCCAGTAAACTTCAGAAACTTTAATATGTACTTAGCAGTTTTTGTACATAAAATTATGTAGAGGTGATGTAGAGACGGGACAGTACTTTAAATTTAAATAAGTTTAAACACCCCTATTAATATATAACTATAAGACCTTAAAATGGGTCTTGGTCTATCGAGATCAATACTTCTCAACTTATCTCCAGCCACTAATAAAATATGACTTTTTTAAAATTTCCCTTGTGGAATTTTAATATTTACAAATATCAATGGGTTAAACGAGTGTTTGTTCCATTGACATTAGTTATTCCTGCTAGTGACGGTGTCAGTAATTATATGAACAAAGTGGTATCGATCAAACGTGACCTTTCTACCCCGGCTGGCCGTTAACCTTTCTCATGTGCTTTCATTAAGTCCTGGGAAAACTTAAACCGTCAATGACCATGCGTTTTCCGAGGAGGGGCGCTGAATTTTCCTTTTTCCCAGAACATTTTGATATGGCGGGCTTTTTTGTACCTCATTTGATTAAGTATTTTAGTTGTGGAAGTATGTTTCATTTTCTGTTTAGCCTAAATATTGTGTGTCCATTAAAATCTTTTAAATTTTAAAAAATATAATCACTGAATTTCTCGAATCGTTAAGTTTTTAAAAGTCGCAGAAAAATTAATCTACTTGAGAGAAATTAAGCTCGATTTTTTATATATCTTATATTTATTTACCTTGGTCGTTTATGATCGTTTATGTCTGCCTGCCCTTGCAGTTTTCGTCAAATACACAAACACAACACATTCACAACTAAGAAACTCGTGAACACACAAATATAACACACATAAACACACACACACACACACACTCACACACACACACACACACACACACACACACACACCTTAAAGCAACTCAAAACGCAAACTAGAGTCTAAAAAATAGTCTAAATAAAATAACACAGAAAACCAAGTACTAAAGCCGAAATGCGCCTAACAGTCAAAATTAGGTAGGTAGATCAAACTGGAAACTCAACATGATAAAGGTTATCGCTAAGCAATCTTCAAAAACGTTTTAAATTTTCTTATTATGTATATATATTCGATATTTTGACAATTTTACTGATTCAGTTTGATCGACATCGACCATTTTGGATGATTTATCCTTCCAGTTCTGTTCTGTCTGATACGTTTCTTCATTTCGCCATCTTCAGTAGTGGGTTTTAAACCTCCTGTAGACTTCAAGAATAAATGTAAATATGTAAATAAACACTATGAACTAATATTGTGGGGTTTTTTCATAGTGGGACGTGAGGATGTCGGCGGAGGGCTGGACCTTCTCAGCGTGTTGCAGCTCCACAACTCGACACGCCAAGGCGTCTCCGTCACACCCGGAATTCACGGACTCACACCCGCCTTCTACCTGCAGGGTAAGTAGAAATTCATATTCAATTAAAATATCATCAGTCATTTTTGGCTCGTTAGCAGAGTAGAAACTGAATTTTGAAGTCGGTGGGATAAATCATATTTCATGTTCATTTTCCTTTTCTTTTGGCCACTTACCAAATTTTTGTGGTAACTCCGAAAAACCTTGAGAGTACGCTTGAGGAACACTTTCACGTGAATTATTGTTTGTCATTAACCGTGGATACCATTGATGAAAATCCATGGATTTCTTCCTTTTGGCCAAAGCGTTTATTTATATCCATTCTCAGAGTAATTTCAATTTTGGATTATTGATTAATAAAATAAATTTGCTAATTGTAGGGTAATTTTCTTATGAGGCATTCTTTGTAACCAGTTTCAATGGTCAAAATAAAAGGTAGTTGATTTGATTGTTGCACGTTCGATAAATAAGTGTAAATGTTTCGATACACAAGTGAATAAAAACTGTTAAATTCGTTTGGTGGTATTTTGGTTTTGTGGTGGTCTGCGAAACGGTGAACAAATTTCTGCCTACTCTCGCAGACGTAGGATAACTTTTCTGACACTTGGCCACTTTTCTTTCGATATTCCAGTAAAGAAAACTATTTTTAGAATTTTCATAGAATGAAAACCTTTCCTTCGAAATTCATGGGAATTAAAGCTTTTCTCCCGAAACTCGAAGGAAAGGAATGTTTAGTTTCATTTCGTTGGGAATGGAAACTTGTCCTTCGATACTTCAGAGAATCGAGGCTTTTCTTTTGATTCTCCATGGAAGGAAACCTTTCCTTTCGAAGCTTCATGGAATGAAAACTTTTCCTTTGAAACTTCAGGGAATTGAAGCTTTTCTTCTGATATTCCGAGGAATGAAACGTTTGATTTCAATTCGTTGGGGAGTGGAAGCTTTTCCTTCGATACTTCGAAGAATCGAGGCTACTCTTTTCATTCTCCATTGAAGGAAACCTTTTCTTTCGAAGTTTCATAGAATGAAAACTTTTCCTTTGAAACTCTAGGGAATTGAAACTTATCTTCTGATATTCCGAAGAATGAAACGTTTTGTTTCAATTCGTTGGGAATGGAAACTTGTCCTTCGATACTTCAAAGAATCGAGGCTTTTCTTTTGATTCCCCAGGGAAGGAAGCCTTTTCTTTCAAAACTTCTAGGAACTAAAGCTTTTCTTTTGATATCTCAAAGAAGGATTACTTTTCTTTCGAACCACCAGGGAATGAAAGCTTTTCCTTTGAAACTCCAGGGAATTGAAGCTTTTCTTCTGATATTCCGTGGAATGAAACGTTTTGTTTCGATTCGTTGGGAATGGAAACTTGTCCTTCGATACTTCAAAGAATCGAGGCTTTCCTTTTGATTCTCCATTGTAGGAAACCTTTTCTTTCGAAGCTTCAGAGAATGAATTAAAGCGTTTCTTTCGATTATCTAAAGGAAGGATAACTTTTCTTTCGAACCTCCAGGGAATGAAAGCTTTTCCTTTGAAACTCCAGAGAATTAAAGCTTTTCCTACGATACTTGGAAACTTTTATCCAATTTGTTGGAGGATGGAAACTTTTATATTGAATTTCCCTTTCGACACCCTCTATAAATTTTCTTTGAAAACGTCTGAGAATTGAAGCTTTTCTGTCGATACTCCAAAGAATGTACACTTTTGTTTTATTTCTTTGGGGAATGGAAACATTTCCTTCGGAACTCCAGAGAATTAAAGCTTTTCTTTGGATTCGTTACAGCATCGAAACTTTTATTTCCAAACTCCAGGGAATAGAAACTTTTGTTTTGATATTTAAGGTATAAACATTTCGAACTACGGAGGGAATAGATGCTTTTGTCTTTATATTTCAAGTATAGACACTTTCCTTTTTAAACTCAGGGTATAAATCCTTTTTTATACTTCAGGTATATCCAGGCATTTTTGTTTCGATACCTCATTGTGTCGATATTTTCATTTCGGAATTTTTAGTGAGGTATCGGACAATTATTTAAACAAAAGCTTTGGTTTTCTTTAGGTGTACGTACATATAAGTAATGGGTTTGGTATCGATCATTTTCTTTCGACCCTTTAAACTTGAAACTTCGATAAAGTGGGTCACTTTCCACGACACTTACCTCCCTAAAAACAGTCGAAAAAGTAAAAGTGTCGAAAGAAAATTATCATATGAAAAAGTCCTATGATCGATATTGTCCCCATTTGTCTACGTGCAAGGTAATTTGGTGTGTTTCGTGCTAGGTGCTGTAGAGTGTTAAAAGATGACTTTGTCAGCTACATCGTATGGTTGGACCCATAAGTAAAATACGTACAGAAGCTTTGATTAAAAAAATGTAAATTTAGTCTGTTTTGAACGTGAAGTAGGTTACAAATTGTATAATAAATTGGTCATTTTAATGCAGTTGTAATCGCAATATTTATATCATAGAATTACCAGCCACCCAATACCAAAGTGCCTAGCATTAAATTTATTTGTAAAATATAAACCCTAAAGTTAGGATTAATGTTGTAAATAACGTGCTTTTTTTCACCTAAAATATAATACAACCACTGAATAAAAATAATTGACTGGTAATTGTGAAAAGTTGACCCGTATACAGCGACCAATCTACAACACGACCTGCCGACAAAAAACATTTTATTTTTGCAATAGAATAACTTGGTAATTTGAGCTTGTTCCATGTCAAAAACCAAGATAACAAAGTAAACCCTTCACAACTCGTCTTTACTTTACTTTAAATTAATTCAGTTGTGCAACGTTGTGATGGCGGACATTTTGTGATGAATGTGGCACTAGAAGGCTTGTACATTCAACATGATTATTTTAGAAATGGAATATGGAAATGTCCTATTTCGTTACTCGCTCTTGTTCCGACTTGGACCTGTAGTTTTCGTAATTTCGAAGTCAATATTGAATAGGGATTTTAGAGTTTGTTTGTACCCTTGGCCAAAGCGACGGCTCGATTCGTCGGAGACTAATGGTCAACTGGCCCGATTATTTGGGTGCTTTCACCGCTTCCGCTCCTATCATGTCGGTCGATATCACCCTTGTAATTTTCTCAATGTGACCTCGCCCGCTTTCAATCAACGCGTTTCTTTTTCTCAGTTTCATTGATTGGTGAACGTGATGAACCAAAAGGGGACCCTGGTTTATGAGTATAATTGGGGATTTGGTATGGTGCCCTAATAACATGAAGGCACCATTAATCACATCGAAGCTTTTGGCCCCATTAGTCGTTTACAAACTAATCAGCTTAATTCCCGAGCTTTGGGAATTAGATTTCTCACAGCAGGCTGGGAAAATCACTCCAGCTTTGTTGACAGTACGGGGTCAAACATGGATCTTGTGCGTCCCGCCCTGAGAAGTGGGTTCCAAGGCTATCGACAGATCGTTTCTGCCCCAAACATGAATCAATCTCTGATTCATATTTTTAGTCTTATAAAAGAAGCAAACTGAATATAAACAATAGCAATTCGGTACGAACGACAAAAACCTTAGTCCAACCGACGCCGACAGTTCAAATATGACACCCTTTTCACTCTTTCACTTTGACAAATGTAAGCAACTGATAAAATCAGACAAATCCACCGTTGAAGATGTTGAAGAGCTAAAACGCGGCAGACAGACAAAACCGGCAAAAATAGACGGATCAGAAAGGCAGATCTAATCACACATTTACACAAAACACAAATTTTCTTCGGCGTTTTTAACCCTTTTGGGTTAGATATTTCTATGAACGTTCTGCCCACCATTTGGACAATGGTTAACTCGATATTCCTCCATAAACATATACATATTGTAACAATAAAGGTGATAGGTTATTTATTATTCCGTCATTGACCTTCTTACAAAACAAATTTGAAATATATTTAATACATCATTGAGAAGCAAGAAACTATACTCTCAATTTCCTCTAAAAAAAACCTCTAAAAAGGAAATTCAAAGCACGTTGCTGCGCTCAAGAACAAATCCCATGTTGGTTGGAATGCCTACTCACAATAAGAAACCAAGACTTGAAGCCTAGCATGTAGGACCCAATGATCACTCTTTTACTGCTACTACCTATATGTATTCTATTTATTCAATATGATGGTGTTCGAAATTCCTCCATGAGATTCGATGGAATAAATACTCGATTTTCCACTATCGCCTTTCATACTAGTCATTCACACCGACAAACACATTCTAATTAACTGTTCTGCGGAGGAACCTTTCTGAGTGAATAGCGTAGAAAGAACTTGCTGTGAGTCGAACCTGTAGAACTAACTTCCAGAAGAACTCCCACAATTCAAACGCTCCTTGAACTGAACCCAGAGAACCAACAAAAAAAACCTGCTCTCTCTCCCAAAATTAAAACTGACCCCAGCAACTGCTGTCCGTTAACACCCTCCGGATTACAAGCATCGAAGTAAAAGATAAAGACCATGAGTTGAAGTTGGCCAAAGGGTAACTGCTAGTTATGGGCTCTTACAGCCCCGAACAATCAGTTCAACCGGTGCAATAAAATAAAATGTGGGAACCTTCTTGCAAAATTTTGCTCTCTAAAAGCCCTACGAAACACGAACACCTACGACAAATAAATATATGCAGCAAAGCACCCCTGTTATCTACGAAAATCAGAACCCAAGCTCTAGTACAATTCGGATGATCCTACTCGTTCTATATACAGAGCCATGGTCTGACAAGCTTCAATTACACAAGTGTAAATTTAGCCCGATTGATTAGAACATACCAAACACGATTTTTATTAGCCTTTGTTTTTGCCATTTTTCAGTTGACAGTTCTTACAAAATTACAATTGCAAGCGTTTACTATTTTTCATATATATAATGCACAAATGTCAAAAGTATTATAATCATAAAATTCTAACGGGTACGAACCAAGGGCCGCTAAGCGTGGGAAATACGAGACTGACAAATCTGCCTCCGCGGTCCCCACAAGTGTCCAACCGGAATATTTCATCTATAAAACTTGCCAAATTAATTATTATTATACACGAAACATCATTTTTCAAATTCAAATTTGAATAGATGACAGTTACAATTAGAATTTTTAACAGTCGGACGCTCTAACTAGCCACCACGGTCTGCTAGTAAATATAAAGTATCGTTGTAACATTAGTGGATTTTGTCGGTGACGCTGTATAAGCAGTAATGAACGCAATACACGGCGACAGCGTCAATGGACCAGATAATCCGAGAAATTCTTTCATGTCAAGACCACGACTGAACGATGGCCCTCCGATGATCTGAAACGCAATGAAGTGCTCGCACGTTTGTACAAGCCTACCGGATTGACATTGCTTTCCCGTATACTCAGTCGTCCTTAAAAGGACAATGAGGATCTTCAACGTACGCACCTAGCCTTCCGGCCTTATCGGACGTGTTGATTCTCAAGATGAGAGCTGACGCACCTCCGCATACGACTGAAGTGTGTTACTACCGCAGCATTGGTGTAGAGGCAGCTCAGCCCCGAGGGGCCGAGGCAACCTCGCTCCCCGCTGGCCCATTCCGAGTGGTCGGGTCCGCATTCAGCATCGAACCGTATGCCGCGCGCAAAGGGTACCTAAGTCAAAATACATCAGCCTGGTCTCCCGCGCACTCCCTAGATAGAGAATGCCTCTCTATCTCGAGAATTGAGGCTCCCCCAGCGTAGAAACTTCCGGATCCGCTCCGGCCGCGGTTTCGGTTAAAGTGAAATTGCTAACCACCCCCTAGAGGAGACTGCCTAAGGTAAAAGCTGCCAATCGAGCACATTACGTACACCTGCGTGCACAGCGCACTCGAATAGGAGCAACCGATTCACTACCCATTTCCATCCGCCACTACTCACGCATTCGCGGGACTCCGTCAGCGTAGTCTGAGCGTTCTCAACGTATACGCTTCGATTGTCCGATCCTTCGTATCCCGTGAGGCCGGGTGAATAACGATGTTCTCACGCAAGTTTCGAAGGTCACATATAGAAGACAGCCTCTTCTCCAGGTACCCGCCAGGGGTGTCGCTACGGCCAACTACGAGTCCATTCCCAGTGTAACAGGGGCTGAAACTTGAAACATTACTGTTACCCCGTAGTACAGATGGTTATGCATCCTCCCCCGTTTATGCCGACAGGATCTGTTACCCTAACCCACGTGTGCCTCTGATAAAGCACCCACCATGCCGAGTACAGATTGTGCTTTAGAAAGACTTAGAAGACCGGATTGACACACGGACAGCTGCTTTTGGTGGCCAAACCCCGCGCAGATGTCCCGTTGTGACATTTGATCAAGGAATGTCAGGCTTTGGCCAAATGCAAGGAGCAAATATGCATGGCCGGCTATGATCTAGCTGTTTGCCAGCAAAAAGAAAAATGTGGCACCCGCATAAAGTCCTTGGGAATGATAGTACGTTGTTGGATCCTCTGTTCCGATTTTTAAATGAATCGGGGGGGGGGGGTTCCCTATCTTATAATTATAGTTTGTATATATATATATATATATATAGTTGTTCGTTTATGTGAATGAATAAATGAGTTGGCCAATGGCGGAATGTCGAGTACCCATTGAGTGCATTGAAAGCTTGATATGACAGATGACTGCATAGTCGGTAGCACCCATAAAAAAAAAATTTAAAAAAGTGGTTACGTGACTACAAAGATGTTTAAAGGGCTACTTAATATTGGTGTTAGGTGGATAAATATATATTTTAGCTGTGTGAAGGGAGATTTTGCTGGGTTTGAAACCCATGTATAAAAAATAAGCGATTGAGGGTGTATGTGACTCGATTAAGGGTGTATAAAAAAAGACAAAGCAGTAGACATTTTCGGATTGGACTTGGTAACCACTACCACAAACAGTCCGATTAGATAACCATCGATGACACAACTGACTGAGCCAGGTAGTAAAAAAACTACGATTTAATCGCAAAGGCATTCTGATTGCTTAACTACCTCTCATCCGACTTGATCAATTGTTTTGTTGACGAAAGCTACTGATGGAAAATTAATCCGGCTATCGATTTTTACATATCTGGTTTAAAGGAAGAGAGTTTCATTAGTACATTTGAATTGGCATGACCAATGACAGTAAATTTAAGAGCTTTCCCAACTACCACTCTTTTTATTACTTAATCTATTAAATGCATCAAGTTCATTAAAGGGAGAAAATTAAATAAACCACTTAAAAATAATCATTAGGAAAGGGGACATAATTATGAATTAGTAGCACTGAATAGGGTGTAAGGACCCATGTATTTGTGTACGGATTTGTTGATATATTTTCAATTATTAGATTCTTTTTCATTGTAATTAAATCAAACCTTATCAACGGAAATCCACTAATTAATAATATAATTTATGTTCAATCAGGTAGCTACAGAGATCTCAAGCTCCCTGAGGTCGGATATAGACAGGCTGTGACTTTACTCCAAGACTCCTCCGAATTCACTCTAAGCGCTTCAATTCGCCAAGAACTGGCGAATTCCGGGACACTGATCGCCTTTTCACAAGGCGTAAACAGGTAAATATATAAAACGTTAACCTCTCGTTTAAGCGAAAACAAAAAAATTTCTTCTTTCTTCGAGGTATTTGGAACTGCAATCCAGCGGTAGAAAGGACGAGGTGAGACTGCACTACACCTCAAGAACTGACTCGGCTGTCCATGTAGAAACGTTTCCGTATCGGCTGGCCGATCGTACGTGGCACAAGGTGGCCCTGTCAGTCAGCGGTTCGCAGGTTCAACTTCTCGTAGACTGTCATCCTGTTTACAGGAGGGTACTGGTCCGACCCCTTGACACCAACTTTACGTTGCCGCAGCTCTCCCTTTGGGTCGGACAAAGAAATAACAGGCATTCCCTGTTCAAGGTATGTCTTTTATTTATTATTGATTATTAATTATCGAACTAGTGATCTATCTATGTACGGTCATCATGTAAGAGCCACTGTTGGTGCAGACTGCTTGAAGTAAATGATTCAATTATCGTTTCCAGTGGCTCATTATGCAGGTCATTTTCACGTAGTGTGCATTATGCAGCATGCGTGAGCACTATCGTATCAATTCGATCGACGATCATTACCCCACCGCTGGAGATGTTGACTTTGATTAAACCCGATTACAAAGTCAATCCAGGACAATTCATACTTCACAACACGACATAAACGAGACAACGATACACTTTTCGGTTGGTTAAACAAACACAATAAAATAAATTATTGGATTAGTAGCGCATGTAATGTGTTTTTTCACCTTGTAAGCTAACGGCTTACAAACATCAATATTATACAACCCGTTTTAAACAGTATTAATTGATTTTTTTCAATCAATCTTAATGTAAACTTTTAATCCACTGGGTCGAGTAGGTTTACTTTTTCTAAGTGGTAGAAATACGTACCATTTTCGGAGGTTGTTTCAGCCTATTGCTTTTTGGTCTGAGGGTATTTTAGCAACAAAAACGAGGTAAGCAAAATAAGAAGTCGGGCAACCGATTTGGTTAAGTGTTGGCCTATACCAAATAAATAAAGGATAAGTAACACAGTGCTATAACTTTTAAAGGTACTTGGAAAGGTAAAAATGGATCTTTCAACCAGGCTCAATTGATTATTCGAAATAAGCTTTTTGGTTCGGTTTTCACCAAAAATGTTTTTTTTTTGTTTTTTTTATCACCTGTGTGCACATGCATGCATTGCAGTGACAGCTTAAGGCAAGTACCAGGACTTTTCTGCAAAGCTTGTCATATCTGATAAGAAGTAGATTATTCAAGAATTGGAAGGCAGTGGTTGGATAAAGACGACAAATCTGCAGATATACAAAAACTGAGCATATTCAGGAAACAGGAACACAACTTAGAGCAAAGACCATGACCGTTCCAACAAGCACATGTCTTTTTTTGCATAGTTTGGACATTTATGAAGATAAGTGGGTATTATACTTTAGCATACTATAGTTGGAAGACAGTGGCCCAAAAACCTAAACATGCATATGCCCAATCCATGCATTCTCTGTAATCAGGACGACAGCTTAGAGCAAGTGTTTCAACAGACATAAGACTTTCTGCAAAGCTTACTCAACTGTGATGAAAATTGGATTATTCAATAATTGTAAACGAGACTTCATTTTAGTAAATTAGGCCTAAATCAGTCTCTACTTGCAGATAAATAAATAAGGGTGTGAAACCTCAGCATTTGGCCTAACCAACCCTACTCAGTAATCAGGTTAAGAACTTGGATCAAGTGACATGACATTTTAAAGTGAAATGAGACTTTTTGCAATTTGGTCTCCTTGATGTGTAAATACTATACGATACATCTATGCAATGGTCAGGTAAGGGTGAGAAATCACAACGTATACCCAAAACCAATTTTATGTAGGAATTCAAGACCACTGATTAGAACAAGTGCCATTACGATACGGAAATTATCCTTTTTGTCATAGTTATATAATTATGCGATAACAGATGGAGATCTGGCCGATGGTAGAAAAATGGTGATAAACGTTATACAGGAAACAAGGCAGAAGTGTAGTACCCAACATATGATTTATTGCGGTTTTTGGAGTAGGGTTCGTTTTTGACGTATTTTCTTTGCCAGTCAGAAAAACAATAACTGCTTGCGTAAATTTTACAAAACTTTGCTAGAAAACCTTCTCTGTTAAACCGAAAAGTGCCAGTACTGCTGGGTCAACGTTCATCCTCCGGTTTTAAAGTGGGCTGTCCGAAAGCTCAAGAGGTCATTAAACCATTTCCCAACCGACTTTTACTTTCTTTGTGTTTAGATAACTTTGTAGAAAAGAAAAATTAGACTGGGAAAATTTCTTCAATCCTTGTTCAATTAATTCGTCTCATTGAAACTAAATTTCTACAAATTTTGGATAGAAAGCATAGTTTCAAGTCAAGTGAAGTCATACAAAAATGGAGTTTATTTTGACTACTGAAAGTACGTTTTATTTTTATTTTTAATTAATATCATGTATATTTCACATGTTAATACTAAAAAATAAAGTAAATTAAAATGCATGCACCAAGTATGTTTGCTGAAATGTATGTTTCTGTTTATTTTTAATCTCTGATTAACACTAAATCAATTGAAATATAAATAAGTTTTTTCTGAATAACTCTAAAATTTATTTTGGTTCAAAAATTTAACTAGTTTCAAACAAGTATTAACACATGATTTTGGAAGCCACTTTGCCAAAGCCGACAAGCTGTCGCACCCTTAGCTCTTACACCCCTCCATAGTTCGTTTTTTCGTGAACAATCTTGGATCCCGCATACATTTCCAATTTTTTTTGTTTCTAAGTGAAATCACGGAATTGTAAAGAAAGTGACGTTTAGCCTCGAAGGGTTTCTAACTTTATATCCCAGGCCAGTCTAATGCTCGCAGCACGCGACCAGTATCGACTGGAAGCATAGACAGGTCGATATCTCTCGTCCTCGGGTTTCTATTGTCTGTATCCAAGGCAATGTCTAGAATTAAAATTAGACGTTGAAAAAAGTGCGACACCCTTATAATAATCGATAAAAAAAAGTGTCATGTGCCCGTGGGACTTGGTGGTTGATAATTTCAATCGTGTTTTTCGTAGCAACGACTTAACATCAAAATCGAGTAAGACGGATATAAAATAAAGATCGTCTTGTCAGATTTTTACCTTATAGTCTGCAATTACCGTAAAATGACTGGTTATTTACTTGTTAATGATTTCTTCAAGAATCATCATAATCAATTATATGAAACAAGAATTTGGCTGGTTTCGCATCGTAAATGTGCTCAAATTTGAATTGGACCTAAACAACCGTATTGATACACAATTAAACAAAAATTTGTATTTTGAAAAATGAAAATAGTATGTACAATTAATAAAAATGTGCACGTGAATATTGAAAAATTCCAGATTAAAATTAGGGCATTCAAGAAACTAAAAGGTGATTAAATTTATTTATTTATGGTTTTTCAATTACAAATGTATACAATAAAAGTATTAAGGTTATAACTGTACATAAATAGATTATAAATATAGAAATATTTATAATAAAAAAAACAATAAAACAAACAATTTAGAATGAATTGAAACAATTTGGAATGTGTATTAAAACGATATAATTATCAATTATTAATTATAATCAAATTCAGTATTAATTATATTAATGATACAATATTTAAATTTTCTAATAATAAAATTTGCTTAAACTGTCATTAAATATATCTATAATTTCGAATGAGTTTAACAAATTTGTTGTTCTTGGTATAAAACTAAATTTGGAATAATTAGTTCTATGGCAATCGATAGAGAATGTTATTTGACTTCTGGAATGGTAAGATTGAACGTGAAAATTAATTCGGTTAAAGTTAAGTGTATCAGGATCTTGGAAATATTTAGTATGACGTGTAATAAATCCTAAAGCTTTATTTGCTTTAAACAAAGCTGTATTAAGTGTGTGTGTGAAAGTTTATCTGACAGTCAAGAATGATGCCAAGATTTTTAACAATTAATTTCTCGTCTAATTGGGAGCGAGTCTGATATAGCGTAGTTAAGTTTGATAGGATGTTATGTTTTATGGAAAGTCATTTGACAGAATTTAAAAGAATATTATTAGTTGAACACCAATTATTAAGTTTTACTATGGGTTGAAGATATAAGCAGTCAGAAACAGAATTAATTATTAGGAATGTTTTTAAATCATCTGCAAAAAGTAAGGTCATAACGGATGGAACAAAATCAGAAATATGTTCGTATAGATTTTAAAAAGAAAAGGCCCTAAGTGCGACCCTTGAGGAAGTCTAGAAATTTTTAGAAAACTATGCGGCAATACCGATTTTAATTTTACTTTATGCATTCGATCTTCTAAATAGGATGCATAGCAACGTAATAAGTTACCACGTACGCATAATTTTTGTAATTTGTGTAGTATAATCGTATGATCAACAAAAGCTTTTGAAAAGTCAGTGTAAATACAATCAACTTGTAGTAATATTGACTAGAATCCAATTTAAATATTAATTCTCGATTTGATCCTATGGCCTTAATTTCGTTCAGATGTAAAAATAATGATGTCTAATAATAAAAATCGAACTTGAAAAAAGAAGTATTTCATAAAATATTCAATTCCTCTATTATTTTCTTTCGAGCGACATCACGTCGGTAAGAAAACTATTTTATTAAATATGTTTGATTAACATAACATTTAAATTTGTGTTTATGCTTTTTTCATAAAACGCCAGGTTGATGAAAGTTACAGAATAACCACATAACTTCTACAATACCGGCAAGTTTTACAATTTCTTCATGTTGTACAAAAAGGGCCGAAACGATTGAGATTGAAATGCACAGCCTCATGGACATAACGCAAAACTAAACGACGAACATAACCGGTCGTGAAAATTATGAAAAAACCAAGATTTAACCCATCAAAGGCACACTTTCCGCCTTTCGGAAAAAATATGAAAAGTACCCAATTTGATGAAATAACTCACAATTCGGGAACCCGCCAGACAGCCCAAAACTGCCAAACATTGTCGGATTTCACGAAACTCAAATTAAAATTTCCTCGGAATACCTGAATTTTATAGTTTTATAAAACAGTCAGTTTATTCAAATATTTATATATATTTTTATTTATATTTATAAAAGCAGAGAAATCTGTTTTTGAAGACTGATCTGATTGACTAGCTTGAACATTACTTACACATTTTGGTCCGTCTACTCTCATTATTTTGACCAGTCAGTCGCGTTTCGGCTTCTCGCCTCTTCAATACTGGGCTTTTTGTGTACTTTATAGACGAATTTTTTAGATATTACCTTTATGTTCTGAGATGTGTATTGCTTTGAAATTACGAAGAAACTCATGAATGCACAGCACAAAACGGCCGGA